AATGTGGTAAAAAGGGGAGAAGGGTAATAGAAAACACACATTCAGGATTTTAAGAGCAGCTAATCATTGATTGACAGCTTGTGTAATTTGAGATGAAAATTAAGGATTATGCACACTTGATATCCTGTTTGGGACCTGTGACATCTTACTAGATGGTGGATTTTTTATTCTGCCCAGAAAGTTGTCTTTTCAAATGTTACCTCACCCTTTCCTTTGTACATCCAGGGCTAGACACTAACTTACTAGCCAAGTGGCTAGTGATATCTTAGATGTTTTTAGATGTTACAACAATTTCAGTCTGTTTACTAGCCAAACTGGATAGTGGAAATTTAAAACCACAAGCCAAAACTGAATTTCTACTAGTACGTGGCTAGTGAGCTACCGTTAGTGTCGAGCCCTGTACATCAGATGCTAGCTACTAATTTTGTGAACTTAAAATCACCACTTATTCCTGGTACTGGTAATTATTTTAAACTTCCTGGTCCGATTGCTCTCTTGAATGAGCTTTATTCGTAGACCACTGAGTTTAATTTGGGGCTGTACTCTTAGTAGAAGTACCAGGTGCCTATATACTGTAGGTTTCTGTCTCACTCTGTTGGGTTGCTCATCTCTTATCCTTTTCATTCCCAATAGTGACTAAAGAGAAACTTTTCTTAACAGTATGAGTACATTTTCAAGTAGAACAGCAATGAAAAAAATATATATATATATCAGTTGGAAGGTGCTGCTTGAGTTTAGGGAAAATTGTAAGAAATGTATAGTAGACAGTGCAGAGAATTTTTATTTTCATGTTGGGAATCAAAGGGCTAAAGATCTTCTTAAGAGTAAAGTCATAAGCTCTAACAGGGGACTCTTTATGGTGGACAATTTACATTATCAACTCAGTTGACAAAACCAAATTATCTTGTTATATGCAAAGTTAGTAGAATGTCAGAGCTGAGCAAAGAGTTTCCAGCAATCTGATTGGTGAAGGGGTTCCTTATATGATGTTATATAAACCACTCCACGCGGTTTATATAAAATGTTAAAATAAAATGTTAATAAATATATATTTAACAGCTTTATTGTAATCGTAATTCGCATTATGTTACATTACATTACATTACGATTGGGTTATAGAGGGAGGAACTTAATCCCCATATTAACTATACCCCATATTATAATTATAATAAATTACATGTATCTATACAAATACTTGAACAATACATGCATGCGTAAGAATTTTTAAAATATGCTATAAATATATAAATCATTTAAAATAGACTTTTTTCAAAGCTTTTTTAAAGTTATGTACAGATTTATGATCTAAGACAGATGATGGTAGCTTATTCCAACAATCAATATATCTGTTCCTGAAAGAATATTTAAATACATCAGTACGAAAAAAAGGCTTGTAAAGTTTATAAGAGTGGGAGTTTCTAGATTTTCTATTACTGTAAGACATAGTATCATTAATGTTTCCAGCAGAATATCCCTTTATAAACTTGAAAAGCTGGACTAAGCCCAGCTCTACGATGAGCAAGCGTCGGAAGATTGAGGGATTTTAGACAATCTTCGTAGGAAGTGTCTTTGCCAGCGATCCATCTTGTAATATTTCTTTGAACCCGTTCAAGTTTATCGATCAAGTATATTTGGTGGGGGTTCCACACTTGACAAGCATACTCAAGTATTGGTCTAATCGTAACTTTGTAGCCCTTGAGTAAAGCCTCATGGTGTGACCCAAGGCTTCATTTGAGTAAACCCAGCAATCTGTTTGATTGTGCATCAATAGAGAGAATGTGAGGTTTCCGTGATACATCATCAGAGAGAATTACCCCAAGATGCTTATGAGTAGATACTTGATCAATAGATTTATTGTCAATGGAGTAGTTGCATTGTGCACGATTTCTAGCTCTGGTGAACTTCATAGCTAAATGAATGTTACTAAAATGTTATGATTTTATAAATTTCTCTGTTGTTCAGCTCTGAAATTATACTAAAACAATTATTTGCCTCAGGTTCGGTGAATGTTGTCAAATAATCCCCTCGACTTCGTCTCGGGGATTATTTGACGATATTCACCTCGCCTTCAGCAAATAATTATTAATTAGTCCCCTTGTGGCACCCAAAGCTCCAGTAAGGCACAGCCTTGTAATTTTAGCTTTTTGGTAACAAAAGTTCTGAACAGATTAGCACTTACTTTGATGAATTATATTTCAGGTTCCTATCGAATGGGAAGAAGTTACAGTGACCCCAATACTTCTCCCTGATGGGAAGACTACCATTCCAACAGTGGCCATCAACTCTATGAATAAGAACAAGATTGGCCTTAAAGGTTACACAATCTTGACTTCTTTTGAAAATGTCATTCCAATCACATCCACTGTAATAATAAAATAAGTGAATAGAATTGATTGTCATGATCACTTTGAATTTTAAAGGTGACAGTTTTCCAATTCTGGTTTCTTTTTTTGTATTTTAGAATAGAATTATTTGTAGAAGTTAAAGGGAATTGAAATTTCAAACAGCTTTGAAAAGGGAAGAAAGTTTACAGGATCCTTTAGATCATAATGCCAGTTGAATTAGTGTGCAATGCCAGATTTATCAGCCAGATTTTATGAGAATCTGTACAATTGTAAATGTATTTGGGTGCCAGTTTTTTAAGGGAATCAATACTGTTGGTTTAACAGGTCAGGCCAACAAATTCTTACAATATGTACTGGTCATCATACCCTGGGCTCTTTGAGAAATAACTTTTACAAGTGATCTGCTTTCAATAAATTTGGATATAAACCAAACTAATTTGGCTCAGTATGTATGATTGAAGTGTTACTGGTAATCTTACCAATGTGCACTAAATATAAATTAAAGCAAACACATTTTTACTTTAATGTACTTCTTGCATCAGCTTGGTCAGTTTGGCGTTTCTTTTCTTTCAAAAGTTCCTTTTAGCTAAGGTTTTTAATGATACAGCATACGGTAGCTCCTCAAGAACAGTAGTTGCTCAAGACAAGTTTGTCTTTTTTACCTGGGAAGCTTATCTGTAGGCTATAGCTGTACAGGACACTTTTCCTCTCCTGCCCAATGTTTAAATATCTATACATGGGCGGTTATAATAGATATTTCAATGATGATGTGTTTGTTTGTAACAGGGCCGTTGGAGACAAAGATTGGTAAAGGACATGTATCCATGAATCTGACTCTCAGAAAGTAAGTGACCAAAAAGTTTCAGTACTAAAACAGTTTTTACATAAGTGTGCTATTAATCTTTTTGATGTAAATAGCACCATATGAGCAGTAAATTTATTTAAACTTGTTTTTTTTTATAGAAGTCTGCTTTAAAACCAAACTAGAGTAATCTTTAGACTTTGTAAGGTTCCATGTTGTTTCTAGACTATTGAATAGAGTTGTGAATAAAGGGATTCTGCTTTCACCTAGAGGTGAACTGTCACATTGATCACATCTTAAAATTTTCTTGTATATATATAATGTTATGGGTTATTAGTCATCGTAGCTTTTTATTGTTTGTTTTTCTCGTATTAATATTTTATACTCATGTGAGTTGAACTCTTTCAGACTTCCCTAATGGCATAGTGCTAGACTAGTGTTTTTCCTCTTCTCTTCCCTTCTTTTTGTGTGACTGTGCATTTGTGCTTTCTCACTGACCTGCAATTTACTTTCATTTAATGCTGATGTTAACTGGCTGCCTGGGTTTGCTGGCCCTTTTGGTTATTCCAGACAGCCAGTACTCTAATTTTGTTTTCAATATTTTGCATTTATAAGGCATGAGAGCTAGTACAAATAAAGATTGTTGTTGTTGTCATAGTTTTACAACATTTATTTACACCAAACAATCCTTTTATAAACCCAGAACATTCAGCCTGTATGCCAATGTTCGACCATGCCGATCTATAGAGGGTTATCCTACAGCATATGATGATGTAGATCTAGTCACCATTAGAGAAAACACGGAGGGAGAATACAGTGGAATAGAACATGTGGTAAGTTGGTAGAGCTTAATACATATCTAGGCTTGGCCAGTTGCTAATTGCAATTCATTCTTCCTGACTCTGTGAAAAGGGGTGATATGTGATTTTAATTTGCTCTTCCTAATAACTTGAATTTGAGTTCTTTTGAGATAGCGATAATTTCTGTTTCTGTTAAATTTCTGTTTCTGTTTCTGTTAAAAACATAATAGATTGATGATAAATAAAGCAAATGCCCAACTACATGGAAAGTGGATGTTCTTTTAATTTATAGGTTGTTGATGGTGTAGTACAGAGTATCAAGCTGATCACCAGAGAGGCTTCTCAAAGAGTTGCAGACTTTGCTTTCCAATATGCCAAAGCAAATAACAGACAAACTGTCACTGCTGTACATAAGGCAAATATCATGTAAGTTGATGAAAAGCTGCAAAGATTACTACCACTATTAATTGTCTGTGGAGAGTAAGTCTGAGTAAAATGCTTTTTCAATGAAAGGCTCGCCTTGGGTGACTCAGGAATTTAGTTTTTTCATACAAAGCATATGCTGGGCATACTGGATTTCACAGTTTCATAGCACTGGGCTCCATTCCATTTTCCTTAGAGCACAGCCTTGCCGCTATGTAAGATCGAAAGTATATACCTGAATTAAGAGCAGTTAAGTCCATCCAATTAAAGCCAAACAATTCTTCATGGTAGATGAAGAATCTCAGTTCTACATCAATGCTCTATGATTGCTTCTTTTGTTCATCAGTTCAAATGACCTTATTGTTCATATGAATTGGTTGTGAACAGGTACATGGATAATAAAAATGGAAGTGATTAAGGCTATTAGTTTGGAGCAGAAAAAATAAAGCTGCACATTTTTTTTTTTTTTTTCATTAGCAATTTTATTGTGCTCCATGACCAATTTTTTTGCATTTGGATAAGTCAAAATGATTAAATCATGCAAAGAACCAAGTATGGGTCATGAATGCAACAGTCATAGGGAAGGGAGGTTGAAGCCCTCTGCTATGTTCTGGGTTAAATGTGAGTCTGACACTCTAAGCTTTTACACCTTGCTCTCCTAAGATGAAAATCCATCTACTAAACTTGTATCCTTATGTCACACAGGCGACGTTCAGATGGTCTTTTTCTGCAGTGCTGTAGAGAGGCTGCTGAGAAAAATAAAGATATCAGATACAATGAGATGTATCTAGACACCACTTGTCTAAATGTAAGTTTGAAAAGTTAAACAGACCAAAGGAAATGAGTTAGAAAATAATGATATGTGTAAAATAACTTAAAACTCCAATAGCCAATAGACCACTTTCATAAATGGCTGCCCGATTAATACTCTTTTGTTTAAATTTAAATTTGCCTAGGTGGCCTCGTTCTCCAGTACAAAATTCAAAAGAATACATTATCTCAAGCGAGGCCACCCAGGCAAATTTAAATGTAAACAAAAGAATATTAATCTGGCAGCCATTTATGAAAGTGGTCTATTGAGCATTGAAATATTGGTTACAATGTTGTTCGCCTTTCCAAAACAGAGTTGGTTACATTATTGTTCACGATTGGGTAGTTTGTTTGGGTAAAAGTGGTTGGTTGCTCTTTATACTTCAGATTGTCTCAGATCCATCAAGTTTTGATGTCATGGTAATGCCCAACTTATATGGAGACATTTTAAGGTGAACCATTGAATGATTATTGTGAGCTTTCCAAAACAGACTTAGTTACATGATGATTGTTGTTCTTGTTACCACAATCGAATGATGCTTTCTTGTAATCCATTTTGTCACCTATAGTCAGTTGGACTCCTTTTCTTGTGGAAATTTCCAATTTTGCAATCAGACAGCAAAAAAGCAGGAACATTACTACACTTTTACACTTGTCCAAGCATGGTTAGATGGTAGATATTAGTGGCTTACTGTGGCTTGTGTCCTTGTTTTAAGTGATTTGTGTGCTGGATTGATTGGTGGCCTAGGTGTAACACCCAGTGGGAACATTGGCGCTGATGGAGTAGCCATATTTGAATCGGTAAGTGTTTGAAGGATGTAAGGACTGTAACTTTGAATTGTGTAATCTAGAGAATTGTTTTTAGCTCAGATTTGTTTTGAGGGGTCCATGGGATAGGCCAGAGAATCTAGGTACCGTAGCTTATTTTATAAGCGTTTCATTACACGACTCGGGCAGTCAGAGGGCCAATAACTAAAATCAACCAATCAAAATGCTCTATTGCCGGTCAATATTCTGTCAGTATTGGACCGGGCACTGTCCCGAATGGTCCCGAATGATACCGCACATGCGTCCGTTTGAACTTCAGTCGTATAATTAATCTCTTATTAACCAAGCTTTCTCGGGACCGTACTGGAAGAATATCGGCCCTCGGTCTTTTTTGTACGGACCTCGCTGCGCTCGGTCCGTACTGTCAAGACCTCGGTCCGATATTCTCCCATTACGGCCCTCGCGCTTGGTTAATAAGATATATGTATTTACCTTCTTATGTCAAAAAGAACTTAGACTTTCTTTTATGATGTTCACAGAACATCATGCAGCTAGCTCTTGTGTTCTTGTTTTACAACATCGAGTTACTTTTTTTATAACTATCTAAATTTTGTGCATTTTAATTATAGCATCATTTAACTCTGGGTACGGCTCAGTGCTCTTTAAGATTGGGGGTGGAGGAGAGGGGGAAAATTTGGTTGTTCAGCTATCTCCACTATTCAATTGGGAAAAACTGTCTTGGACACAGAAGGCGGGCTATTGTGAGAAAATTGCTCTAAAAGAACTCAGAAGTAAATTCTAAAGTTACTTAAATTTTGATGAGGTGTTAAAAAGTTGACCTCTCGGAATGAGGTCTCTTTTTTAACGCAGTTTCTTTCACAGGTTCAAGATTTGAGAGAACCTTTTCCCTTTTTTTTTGTCTTTTTGGAGAGCACATTGAATGGTGGAGATCATAAATTGCCAAACTGATTTAAATACGATATGTGAATAATTTCTTGATATGGCCTTTTGCAGGTTCACGGCACAGCTCCCGATATCGCAGGTCAGGACAAAGCTAACCCCACAGCACTCCTGCTCAGTGCTGTGATGATGCTTAGACACATGAAACTAAACTCACATGCAGACGATGTAGAGAGAGCTGTGCTCGCAACAATCAGAGATGGAAATGTAAGGATGTCTTAGAAATATATCCCTTATTTCCTGGGAATAATAAGAATGGCATTTCTCTTAACAGTATTGAGCAGAGAAGCGTTTACTTTGTAAAAAAAATCCTGAACAAAGAAATATGAAATGAATTGTTGTTGAGTGAGTCGAGAACGTAACGTAACGTAACGTAACGTAACGTAACGGGCGTAACGAGAATGAGCAGCGTCCTAATTTGCCACTGAAACCCTTCTTAACTGTACTTCCCTTTTAATCCATGACCCCTAAGAGTGACCAGCATCTAATTTCTCCTTACAATATCACCCCTGAATCACACATAAAGGTCACGAGAATAAATAAAGTGATCAGCAACTAAAGTTCTTTATTGTAAAGCGAATTATCCTCGTCGCCATCCTTAGGACGTGTCTAGTATGAAGAACATGCATGATGATGTAAGGGTATAATCGTTTAACGGAATTGCAGGAGTTGTCCTATTACCTTGCAGAACAGGCGTTTTTTGTTGTTGTTGTTGTTTGTTTGTTTGTTTGTTTGTTTTGTTTTTGCGTTTTTCGGGCGAAATGAGGCAGGCGCGAGGGCAGGAGCATTTGTTTGTGCTCCTCCACTAATGCGTGACTCGGCCCTCTTGCCTCGAGCTCGTTTCAAGTTTGCCTCCGTTCGCCTGAAAAAACGCAGACAAAATTACGCCTGTTTTCAGGCTAGCTGGGTGGTGGAATATCTCTGATCTCAGCCGTGGGGCGTTGATCGGATACCACGCATTCTTCATATGAAAAATTAGAAGTAATCAAATGAATGACGATTAGTGAGGAAGAGAGTCAATTTATGTTTGTGTATCAACAGGCATTGACAGGAGATTTAGGTGGAAGGAGTACCTGCTCTGAATTCACGAAGGAAATTTGCCGCCATCTTGAGTAGTGAAGTTCTCTAATGTTTAGATCTTCCAGCTGGTTTTTGGAGTTCTTTTCAGTAACTGATCATTTTGGTTGTGCCTTTCTAACAGAAGATTGAAAAAGATATCAAATTGAAAGGTCCATGGTGCGGCTGAAAAAGTGATTCCTGATTTATCTTTCTTGCACAGTGAGGTCAATGTTTTAACGTTCCTCTGTTAACTTAGCTTTCTCTGCTTCCTTAAACTTGTAAGAATTTATTCCGAGAATTACCATCAACTCTGTAGCTATTTGGGTTTTTGTTCCTTCAGTCTCTGTTTGGAGTTGATGACTGATTGGGACGATTTTTTCTGTAATACTCCGCAATAAACGATATCTGTGATCTTCTTGAAGAGGGCTTTGAACAGCCCAAATTGCTTTGATACATAAAAATGAGATGTACATTTTAAAAACGAGACAATTTGACCGTTGGATACATCTTAAGTTCGTTACCTTTATTGAAATGATTGCTGAAGCAGATTATGTAAAGTTGTACATGAATTTAAAGCAATACAGTAAAATAAATACATTGCAATTTAGCTCGTCGTTTTTTAAACTTTTTATATAAACACAAAAGATCAAACCTCTGTACCAGGTCTTTCTTCTTTATTCTGTGGGATTTCCAGTCGTCATTTGTGCCCTTTCAACGTGATAGCAAAGTGAGTCATAATCGGTCTAAAGCCTCTTTACTTTTCGTATTGATTTTCGTCGTTTTTCACATCTTCCCGGTATAAACACCTTTAAAATTTTTATGAAACTTCCCCCATAGGTCATAAAAACTCCGATCTTACACCAGGGCAGTTAAAAATCCCTCCTCTCTGGGCGGTGCATGTCTCTTTCGCTCTTATGGCCACCTATTTTGATCTAATAGGAATAAAAGAATCATGAACTGAGTTGCTACTGATCTCTTAGTTATTTTAATTGTTCGAATCATTAGTGCCAAGGAACTACTAGTTTTTCTGTTTTCCCTAACAACTGAGAAGCGTACGTGGAGCCAACTTTTTGCTTGCGCGGCACCTTTGTCCGCGTACGGAACAAAGTCTCAGATTCATAGCAGGATGTGCGCAATCGAGACACCTAGAAGTTTCTGGTTATCTGTGGGAGGTGCTACACAGGGGAGGACAAGCCGAGTGTCACATGTGTTCACATATTTATTTTGCAAGGGAAGTTATCACGCGAATTGGGAAGAAAGGTTTATCATACCAGACTAACTTCTGGTCCCTTCCAGCGTATGAGAATACATGTTGATAACAGCGCCATGTTGACATGACTCAGTGTTTTATCTTAAAGAAGTGCCCTTCAAATAGTAAATCAGAGCGAGGGTGCAGCTTTTCCGTTCTCCGACATGTTCCCCAATTTTGAATTTCTGAAGCCATTGAAATTTAGCAACACGCTTACGACTGTGTACTGTGCAAACTTTCATTTCCTTAGTGCGTGCGAATGGGTTTGTATTTCACACCTTGTGATAGTATTCACTCACAAGGCGTCTTGTTTGCTTATCACTGCAGTTAGTAAACAAATAGAATGCCACCTCGTAGCAAACCTTGCTTGTAGGCAATAACCCGGTTTTACACACAACAAAGCTCGGACGAATTCCAAAGGAACGCAACAAGTTTCCATTTGAAGAGTTTTCGATTGTTCCAGAATGAAAATGACAATAAAAAACTTACACACCCGAGACGCCAACGCCGTTGTCAGATATCGTTCTTATCGGTTTTAAGTGGAGGGGCTGATAAAGCGGAAACTTGAAATGATAAATCAAAATTCTTGGTGATAAGTTGACATTCTCGTCATTTTTTCGCTTTTCGTACCACACTCATTCTCTTCTCTGTCCCGTTCTTTTTGATCAGAATAGTGGACGCCATTCGACACTTTTTTTGTTTTGTTTTGTTTTTTGTTTTTTAACTACCATCGCCACCACGTTTATTTCATGAGGGGCCGACCATTTAACTTTAGAGGGAGGGAGAGGTGGGTGATTTCTGGTCATCAAGAAATTCTTTTTCTAGCAATCTGCTGTGCAGGATTTTTTTTCCGTTTTAAATGCTCTTTTTCCTCTGTTCATTTGGGCTGCATGCAACTTTTTTCTTCCAACAAGCGCTTGCAGGAAAATTTTTTTCAAAATCACCGACCCCTCCCCCCCTCATATCGTCTATTGTAACTCCGTCTGGTCGTCCACATCTGTATCTAACTTAAATATAATTTATTATTTGCAAAAGCGAGCTGTGCGGGCTATCACCAACTCAGACTATCGAGACCACTCTGCCCCTTTATTCTCCAAACTAGGAATTTTAGATATTTTCCAAGTCAATACGTTTGAAATCGCTAAATTTATGTTTTATTTCAAAAATAACTTATTGCCCCCATTGCTTCTCGATCTTTTTGTAAGGAATAGCCAAATTCACAACTATGGTACCAGAACAGCCAGTAATTATCGAACGCATTTGTGCCGTACAAATGTCAAGCAGTTTACAATTCTCTACCAAGGTCCTAAAATTTGGAACTCCCTCCCTATTTTAGTCACTCGTTCGTCAAACTTTCTCAGCTTTAAAGCGAAATTGCAAGAGTTTTTACTCAAATAATCACTGAATTGGCCAAGCCGCACATTCGCAGCACTTTTTCTTTACTTAATTTATTATTGTAAGTGAGGTGGCTCTCCCATAAGCCTGGTGGCTTCTTGGGTCTCCTCGCCTTCTAACTGTTATCGCTGTAATTAACTATTTTTTAATTGTTAAAATAAGGCAAATAAAGATGATGATGATGATGATGATGAAATGGTCGGCTCCTAAGGGGTTCGAAATCATTCAGAGGGTTTACCTTTGTCAAAGACAATCAACTGTCAACTGCCTAATAAGTACAATACAAACACAATTATCAGACCAGTTGTCTGTATCCAACTGTATTGAGGCATACTTAAATCTACTGGAAACATTTAATAACCGCTCACCACTATGGACACCAAATCGCTCCTAGGGAGAAGGTATCTCAGTCCCTATTTAGGTTTCGTCCATGCTCTTTGAGACGTAATTCAAGATTGAGCTACCCCGCCTCACAATATCTCGCTCTATTTTATCAGAGTACATTACTGACACATTTACAGGCGCCTTGGTTTTATTTTCTAAAAGTTCAGTGCAGGTAGTGCAACACCAACATGCGCAGTACTTGTTTCGCCCCTCTAACAAACCATTTTGGGGAGGTCTTACTTATCAAAAAGAAAAAAAAAATTTTGGGACAGTTTCGGCTCAAATGAAGAGAATGGATTAGCGAGACAAATATCCAATCGGCAGGAACCTTTTTTAACTCGGCGACTGTTTTAACTTTTGTATTTTTGTTTTTTTTTTCATTTGTTTGTTAACTTTGCCTTATGTTTGTTTAAATTACAAAGAAAAAGTTTATACTGCACACGAGAGGCGAGATGCGAAGAACTAATGATTGTGTTCGTTTCAGGATTGGAAGGGAAATATACGGATATAGCTCCGAGTTTTCCATGCAAGCAATTGAAGTAGAGACAGGCGCGGTTATGATCCTTTTCTCACCAAGAGCAAAGACGTATCCATGGTACTTTAATCTTTATGGAGTTACGTCTTATTTCCTGGTTATTTACAGAATACCTCTGGGATGTGTTCGTTTTTATTTCGGGAGATCGGCGGTCACAAAGAGAGGGAGTGATTTATCGTAATCTAAGGGATTAAAAGGCTAATGTCAACCCGGGATTTTCCCGCGGCGGCCGATGATTTACTATGTTAAACCAACCTGCCAATATGTCACTCTACCTGCGCTCCTCTATTTTCCACAGGAAATTAATGGAGTGCCAAAAATGTAATGATTTTTCCCCCTGGTTTACACATCTGGCAACTCTTTCATGGCATTCTGTGTCTGAAATAATTCCTTGAAGAATACACAGGAGATGTAACCAGCCTGCCAAAGGTATCAGGTTCAAAGTACAAACTCCTTTAAATACAATATCAAATCTCGCTCTTTTGTTTGGCTTATCAAAATACTATCACAATTTGAGTGTTGTGTGACAATTTAATTGGTAGAGAAAAATTGTCACAACAAGAGAACTTCGTAGCCTTTGAACAAAACAGAAAGTACACTTTTCAATGTTGCAGTTTTACGACAGGTTTTGTAGGATATTGAACATTGAAGTATAATCTCTGGGAGCGAAACAGCTGTCTTAGAAATTGTGTAAAAATCACTAAATGGTTCGTTTACAAACAGTGTTTGAAAACCGCGCATGAAACAGATTCAGTAAAAGGTGGTGACAGCGAAAAATATAAATCAACTTGATTTATGAATTGAACTCCTTTATTGCCTTATCCTCGGAAATTCAAGAAATTTTAGTCATCTTTCCCACAGACTTTACTAATTCAATCCATCAACTTTTAGCGAAAATGATTTTGTTTTTCGCCTCATCTATTATGGCGCGTAGCGGCTGTGTTATCACAGCTTTCTTTCCATAGTAAACAGAAAGTCCCACGCGTCAAATATTTTTTCCTTTGGGTCTTATTTTTAGTTTGAGCTTATTCGAATGGTTACAGCTTACAAGGAAGGTTTCGATTCTCAAGTACAAACTATAAATCTTATTCCTGAACTCTTTTCAGCAAATTGCGTCACGCGTGCGGCAAAAGTAAAGGAAGTAGGAGTTTCTCGTGTGACGTCACTGAGACAGATATTTTGTTTCGGCATTACTATTGACATTGCACATTAATCTCCATGTAAAAATTATGTGAACTTGTTCGTTCTCGATCGGTAGAGGTATTTCGTGGTACCGATCATTCCTTTTGTATTTTAGTAAGATCTTTTCTGTTCTATTTTGTGTGCACTTTTTCGGCAAGATTGTTTCTGAAAGCAGCGATAATGCGCACTATTTATTGCATGTTCGTTATCGCGGTGATAAACTTGGCGACGTGTCGAACTCAGGATGTGTATTCCAATACATGGGTTGTTCAAGTTGACGGTGGTCGTGGGGCAGCCGAAACGATAGCAAGAGAAAAGGATGTTACACTACTAGGCCAGGTAGGGGAGACATTGATTCATTAGCCTCCCGTGACTGGTGTAAGTGTCTCTAAAGATGCTATTTTTTATTTTGAGGTTTTCTTTCCGCTCGAGGGAATTCAACTTATCCTCTCCAATTCATGCGATTGTTTGCTTAATGAATTCGAAGTGCTTTTTGTCTTCATTTATAGGTTGGAAGTTTGGAAGGATTTTATTTGTTCAAGCACAATTCACATCCCAAACGATCGAGACGCGATGCTATGGATATCACGTCGGACCTTAGTGAACATCCTAATGTATGCATAGCATTTGTAATAAGGAACATGCGAAATTCAGGAAGTTGGTTTTTTGTTACAGCAGTCTTGCACTTCTTCCCCATCAACCTTAATGTTATTGATGTTTCTATTTAAGGTAATTTGGGCAGATCAACAAATTGCGAAGAGACGCGTACGAAGAGACTACAGTCCCAAGTTGAACGATCCAGATTACAGTAAACAGTGGTTTCTGGTAAGTTAGGAATTAGTCAAATTCTATCGTTCGCTTCTCAGGGGTACTAGATCCTGCCCTTTCAGCCTCGAGAATGAGCTTGTCTCACTTGCTAAAAAGATTGTTAAACTTTCGGGTAATCTAAGAAAATTTTTTGTCGAGTTGTAAATTCACACTAAGGTAACTTTTGAAGTGCAAATGAGAATAACATTTCAAGCATTAGATCTAAGGCAGATACGTTGCAAATTATAAAATTTAATTGAAGAGGAGTTTAAAGTCCAGTATCATTATTTAGTTTTCTTTATGCATCTTTATGTTTATAGGTAACGCATTTAATTCTGCAAAGCGATTTCTGAGATTCAAAATGATCTCAGCCACGAATCTGAAACAATTCTTTTGAAATAATTATAAAGAAGACGATTACACTTAATTTCCGTTTGTATAGAGTAATTGAAACGAATTCACGAAAGCGTAGCAGATGTTACACTGTAATTTGTCATACATAATATCCCTTCTTTATACCTTCAATGTCATTATTATCATTACAAAAATTATTTTTTACCTTTATTTTGTTATGGCTATTACTATTAAAATGAATTGACAAAAAACAGTTATAAATTGAACAATTTTTTTGCTCTTTTCATTCCACCCTGCCTTTAATTTGTAAAGTAGAATTTTTTACTTATCTGGTAAATGATCCATTTATAAATACAAATCTGTCAGATTGGCCTGCAGGAGAAACCACTCTTGCTCAATTACCATTAATATTTTCTTGGTCTCCCAAAACATATTCAAAACATGGGAAACTCTAGGAGAGATATCACGATATAAAATTATGGTTTGTAAATGATTGAGCTCAGCTCTAGTTTTCACTGCTTTTAAGGATATATAAGTGTGAAATAAAAGACTGTATTTCAAGCTGTAGACTGCGGGATTGCATGGAAAGCTGAAGGCAAATTTAAGAAAACTAAATACAACTGTTAACAATCACTTTCCTGTTTTTTATTATTTTTGTCATGGCTTCCTGCAAACTGAGAGCCTTAAACAATGGCACCTTTTTTTTTTATCAATCCTAAAATTACACCTTTCCACAGGCTTTTTTATACCCTACATTTTCTTCCTTATTGATGGCAAAAATTGTTACATGTGATTGTGCCATCTTGATTTGATTCAGGGATAGCTGCTTTAAGTAGGGTTTGGTGATTCATTTTTCCCCAGATGACAAAATACAGTTAGCTGTAGTCAGAGGAAATCATAAAGGATATTGCACAGCTCTCCCACAAATACAGGGCTGATATATAACTTTATAACAAGTGTTTTTTTTCCTCATTGAATTATTGCTTTTCTTTTACAGCATAATAGAGATAGTATATTTAAAGGATATGATCACAATGTCCTTCCAGTTTGGGAACAGGGTGTTACTGGCAAGGGTGTAGTTGTGTCCATCCTGGATGATGGTATGTTAGTTTTAACCAGCATACGTAGCTTTTGCAAGAACAATGTATAAATATTTTAATATTGAAGACTTTAAATATTGATTTGTCATAGATATTGCTACACTAAGGTTGTCCTTTGATGTCCATTTTGGTTCCACTAAAATTGACAACAAGAATAAGGACAAGAAAAAATAAAAGTTAGTTGTGTCGAGTCTGATTGCAGTTACAAATAATTATCGAAGAGTTTTAAGGTCATGTAATTCTTCAATCTAGTTTTGGTCAGAATATATCAGTGTACAAAATTCCCTGACTTTTCCCTGTTGAAAAAAAATAAAAAAATAAACCCAGACCAAATAAATGCATTACATTAGGTAACATCAGTGGTGGCATCTAGCCTTTACTGCTGTCCTTTTAACTCTTGGATTTACAGACAAAATCAGTCAAATAGACCATGATAAAGCATTGTTTCTTAAGCCATGTGAACAAAAAGAGTGACTGTTTAGTCTAATAATGTGAACTCAGTGATTCATATCTCTGAAGCCTGTTCAGGTTTTGGGACCATTTAATAACTAGGCATATAGCTTCTGCCCCTCCTGGTGTTTAATCAGGTCTCACTGTCGCTTTGCTCAATCACCCTTTTAAACTGGACCTCTTTACCTTGAGTTTGGTGTTCACTTTACATTACGCCACGTACTGCAATTTCCAACAGGACAAAAAATGGAAAAGGCCAGGGAAAAATGGCCCTAAAAGTCTTCATTATTAATAGTACAACATTGAGATCAAAGTGAATGCAAAAGCTTCTTCTATCCTTGAATGATTTGAAATCATTCATTAGTTTTGTGATTATTTCAATGTTCTATGGCATAACTAATTTCCTTGACTTTTTGCAGACCATGAATAATATGATTGTTATTATCGGGTTATTTTAATCTCAATCTGTCTAATTCTTTTTTAGGAATTGAATATGCACATAGGGATTTAAAGGATAACTATGTAAGTCTTTTCTCATGATAATGTGCATAAACAAAATCAAGAAGTCAGAGCAACAACAGTGTCAGTAATTATTACAGAGATATTAACCCCTTATTATCCAACTGTGCTTTGTAGAGTACAAATAACACCCAAAACAAGTACAATTATATCGTGGTATTTGTACTCTAGAGAACTGGTTAGACAGGTTTTCTGAATGGCTGGTGAATATTGATCCAAGTTCATTAGATAAATCGAATAAAGAAAAACAGATGACAAAGAAATTTCACTTAGTGAAGAAAATACTGGGCCAATTCCATTCCGCTTTGCATACTATTCTTACTTTCTGTTGATAAATATCCACGAAATTCATGTGCACTGAATAACAGTTTGGCATGTTGGATAATAAATCCCCTATCAAACGTTTTGTTGTGTAGTATCGCTGAGTATTTTTACTTGTTATTTGTATTTTGACTCACTATACTACACAACAAAACATTTAATAAGATATATTTATTGCAATTGGCTCCTCTACAACAACCTTGTTAGTACGACCACTCCTAAATTTTGACCACATTTTCATGCCCTAGTGGATCAGAGGATGTATTGACAAAGTTTGTCAGGAAGCAAGCTGCAATGTTGCTGTCACTTTAATCCTTTTGACCCCATTAGGGTGACCAGCGTCTAGTTTCTCCTCACAGCGGTACTGCTGAATCATTCATTAAGATCATGAGAATAAAAGAAATGATCAACCTTAAAAAAGCGTTGATTGTAAAATGAATTCTCCCTGTCAGTACCGAAGGAAATGTATAGAGAGGTGAATGGAGAATATGGATTTTACTAATAGGTGGAAAGGGTTCATTGTTGATGGTTTTTAAGTGAAACTGAGATAAACATTCACGGGCCTTCTAGAATACTTCGTTATTTTCAGCATCCATTGTTAATATAGAATGATTGACAATTTCAGTGATACCTTTAAGATTTCTGAAAGCCTCTCAAACGATTACAACACATGTGTTTCAGGATTCTGCAGCTAGTTATGACTATAACAGTAATGATCCTGATCCTGCTCCAAGACCAACATGGAATGATGAAAACAGGTATGTTGTGTAAAGAGACAAGTAAACACTTCAATGTCATTGACATATATCACTAAATTACACTTTGTCTACATAACTCTTTAACCTCTAAGAGTGACTGTATATAAATAAAAAGGAAATTTTAAAGGTAAGGAAATAAAGGAAATGATCATCAATTTTTAGAAGCTCCTTGATTGTCAATCAGACCTTCCTTGTCAGCACTATACAAAATGAAAAAAGAATAGTGAGGAAAATATAACACTTGTGTAAGGGTGTAAAGAAATAGAGAGAGACAGATAAATAGTTTATTGATAACCGTTTTGCAACTGAAAATTGAATTATATGATTAGTGAAAAAGATAATGATATAAATTACAATAAGAGTGACTGTAAGCTCTGATGGTTTTAGGCATAGTAAGGAATTCAAATCAATGAGACCTTTTCTTGTACTGGATGTTTCTCATAAGCAAGGTTTGATCCAGTGGTGGGTTGAGTATCTGTACAAAATCAGCTACAGTTTTCAAGTGCTATCATGATTTGAGTTTAAACATTTTGGATTGGTCTCTGTGGTCAAAGACCTGCTTTTGATAAGTTAATTGATGTTTAAGTCATTTGCTTCTCACATTATTTAGGCATGGTACAAGATGTGCAGGTGAAGTGGCTGCAGCATGGAACAACAGTGTCTGTGGGACAGGCGTGGCACCAGGGTCAAAAGTAGGAGGTAAGCTGGCTGTATAGGTAGAAACATGCAAGTATGCCAACAAAAAATTCCATACACAGTTGCTAAAAAAAAATCATCAGGCTAATGTCAGTGTTGTGGAAAATTTAAAGTGCTTCAAATGGGGCTTGATAAAGAATGCTGTACCAGTTGACAGAATTCCCTTGACTACATTTCGTGATCATTACTGTTTTGTATCTAAGACTTCAGATTGAGACTCAAGTTTATGCCTTGTCGTTGGCCTCTTGAATTGACAATCCCCAGCTCCACTCAAGAGTCAGGGCTTCTGAAATAGGGACCTTTAGCATCGCGTTTTCTGCAAACGGCAAACGGCTGCTAGCGGTTTGAGGTTTCCCATTTGCCGTCGTCACCAAAATTGAATTTAGCATGGCGTTGACGTCTTTTGGCGGGAAAAGCCTACCTTTTAAGAGCCTTTTTATCTTCCTCAAGGTATTTTGAGATAAGGCCATTCATCCTTTCTCTACAAGCTCGCCCTGAGAGCACGACGGGTTTTTTGTCTTCCGAAAAGATAGGGGAAAGTACCCTCGGAATCTCCTTTAATCAG